CCAAAGGAGCTGATGAGTTTACCAAGGGAGACAGTGTAGATTGAGAACAATAGGGGATCAAGGACAGACCCTTGGGGAGCACCAACAGAGAAGGATTGGGGAGAAGAGGCAGAGCCAGAGAAAAAATCACTGAAAGAGTGCTGAGAGAGGAAGGAAGAGCAGATCTCGTAGACCAAGATTATGGAGGATGAGAAGAAGCTGTTGATGATCAACAGTGTCAAAAGCAGCAGAAAGGTCGAGGAGCATTAGGATAGAGTAGTGGCCACAGGAATTTTCAGTGATAAGATCATTGGATCACAAGATGAGATACGAGGGAAAAGAATCGAGGAAACGGGTGGTGGGGCGGGAGAAATGGAGCATAGCAGAAACCTCTTCTACTGTAGCAGGTGCAAATGAGCATAGGACAGCTAAGGGAGTGTGGTTAGGGAAAAAGTTGGTAGGGAATGGAGAGAGATGAGAGATCTATTTCCTGATTGTATAGATCTTCTCAGTGAAGTGAGTTGCAAAGTTTGTGGCGGTCAAGTCGGTAGGAAGAGGAGGCAGAACAGGGCAAAGAAGAGAGTTAAAAGCATGAAACAATAATTTGGGCTTGCGGGAAAATGTGGTTATGAGTGAATTGAAGTAGTTTTCTTTTAAAGAGGAAAGAGCAAGACTGTAGGAGCACAGCATAATAATGGACAGAGCACAGCACAGCATAATAGCGGATGCAGAGTGTGTGTTAGTGTAATATGTAGTGAATGCAGAGAGTAGTGTGTGTGTTAGTGCAGTGAATGCAGAGTGTGTGTTAATGTGTAGCGGATGCAGAGTGTGTGTTAGTGTAGTGAATGCAGAGTGTGTTAATGTGTAGCGAATGCAGAGTGTGTTAATGTGTAGCAAATACAGAGTGTGTGTCAGTGTAGTGGATGCAGTGAGTGTGTTAGTGTGTAGTGTATGCAGTGTGTGTATTGTATTAGTGTATGCAGTGTGTGTTGTATTAGTGCATGCAGTGTGTGTGTTAGTGTATGCAGTGTGTGTGTGTTGTATTAGTGTTTGCAGTTTGTGTGTTGTATTAGTGTATGCAGTGTGTGTTGTGTTAGTGTATACAGTGTGTGTGTTGTGTTAGTGTATGCAGAGTATGTGTTGTATTAGTGTATTCAGAGTGTGTGCTGTGTTAGTGTATGCAATGTGTGTTGTATCAGTGTATGTAGTGTGTGTATTGTGTTAGTGTATGCAGTGTGTGTTGTATTAGTGTATGCTGTGTGTGTTGTATTAGTGTATGCAGAGTGTGTGCTGTGTTAGTGTATGCAGTGTGTGTTGTATTAGTGTATGCAGAGTGTGTGTTGTTAGTGTATGCAGTGTGTGTTGTGTTAGTGTATGCAGAGTGTGTGTTGTGTTAGTGTATGCAGTGTGTGTTGTGTTAGTGTATGCAGTGTGTGTGTTGTATTAGTGTACGCAGTGTGTGTGTTGTGTTAGTGTATGCAGTGTGTGTTGTGTTAGTGTATGCAGTGTGTGTGTGTGTGTGTAAATGTGCAAACAAGGGGGGGGGGGCATTTTCCCATTAATTTTTTAAATTTTATATTACATTAAATTAAATGTTTCTCCCCCCTCCCTGCTTACCTGTGTCCAGGGAGGGGGGAGATTCCATGATCCCTGGTGGTCCGGTGGCATGGATGGCCCCCGGCTCCCTGTTACTGCAGAGGGGGCCCCAGGCTCCCTGTTACTGCAGAGGGGGCACATCACACTGCTTCTACTCTTCTCCTCTCTTCCAATAACTCTCGCGAGACCCGCTGAGCGTTGCCATGGTAACCGGGTCTCGCGAGAGTTATTAGAAGAGAAGAGTAGAGGCAGTGTGCTGGGCCCCCTCTGCGGTTACCGGGAGCCGGGGGCCCGCGGCTGCACACATAGATAGAGATATTCGCTATCTATGTGTGCAGAGAGGGAAAGTGGGGCCCGGGACTGCCAGAGCAGTTCGGGCCACCCAGGACCGCTGGGCCCGTGACAACCGTCATGGTTGTCACCCCCTGATGGCGGCCCTGATCGGACCCCTCTGACCTGCAGTAATGAATACACGTTGCTGTGGGGGAGGGATCGGATCAATGTGTCAGAAGTGGTGGAGTTTCACTCTCATCACTTCCTATTGGAAAGCAATACATGAATAAATGAATTTACAAATTCGAATGCCCCATTTACTCACCTTTCTCCCATGTTAATAGTGAATTCCAAAACAAAATATCAAAACATCTGTTACATTATTAGTCCCCCACTTACTGGACTATGCCTGATGTTCCCACCCTACAGCAATGGATCACCAAAGTTGATGAGATGTGTTCTATAAAGTTTCTTACTAGTTTTCTTTTTGGCCCAGTTTGGCTTAATTTGGTTCCCCTGGGCTACGTTTCTCTCATGCTCTTTCTTTACTTCCACCTGAAATGCATGCTTTTTTTGTTTTTCTTTGCCCCTCTGCGTGACCAATCATGATCTACCTCTTCTCTCTCTTTTCTAATAGTTTTTCCTACTTTTTTTCCTTTTAAAGGATGCACCTAGCTCCATTTAGATGTTTAAGTTGTTTTCCAATTTTTTTTAGATGGTATTGTTTATAATAATTTATTTACAGCTGATGTCTGCGTGTATGCTCAAATAACTGTATTCTTTTATAAGTTAAGTAAGTATTTCATTTTGGATGCATTCGTTTTTATGTTTACTCCTTTCATTTTACCATCATGTTATTCTTAAATTAAATAATTTAAATCTATCAAATAAAAAAATGAATAAAAACAAAAAATAAACTGGCACTTAGAATGATAGTTCTGTTTTAATAGTAGTAGTAGGCAATATTTTGACTTAAATGTTCAGGCTATTGTACCTTAAATATATAAAGAGAAGCCTTAATATTTTCAGTTCATTATCTTCTTTTTTATGCTGTCATAAAAAGACATTCCAATCTCAATGAACATTGATAATCAAAAGATTAATTGCACATGTTAATCAGAAAGCTTTCATAAAGAGAACGCTAATTGCTGTGGGGTTTGCATGTGTATTTTTTTTATTATTGGAAATATGCCAAAGTATTTAAATATGCAAGAACATGAATCTCTAAATTCATTAAAATGCACTTTTAATCAATATTTCAATATTTGTCAAACTTACATACACTTTTTGTGTATTGTGAAAAAAGCTTTTCAAAATAGAAGAATTTAAGAAAATTAATAATTGTTTGCTGAAGACATAAAATGTTATGAATGCTACAACCCAAATGATTTGAAATAAAAAATATAAAGACATTTTATAGAAAATATTTTCTACTTTTTATCCACTATTAAAATAAGTCTCATTCCAGTTTTAGCACCATACTAAACAAATAATGAATGCCTTTTAACAATACCATCAATCTCTATACAGTTGTGCACAAAAGTGTGCATACCCTTGGAGAATTGGTAATTGGAAGCAGGTAAAACACATTTCTTTTATTTCTTATGGGATTCATATTCAACTGTAGGTTATAATTAGAGTTGAGCGGACACCTGGATGTTCGGGTCCGGTGGGTTCGGACAAACTTTGAAAAAAGTCCAGGTTCGTGCTCAAACTTGACCCCGAACCCGAACCCCATTGAAGTCAATGGGGACCCGAACTTTTGGGCACAAAAATGCCTCTAAAAAAGTCCTGGAAAGGGCTGGAGGGCTGCAAAAGGAAGTAAAATGTAGGTAATAGTAGGACAAGTACCCTGCAAACAAATGTGGATAGGGAAATCACTTAAAATAACATAAAAATAAAAAATACAGCTGAGCCATAAAATATCACTAGATGGAATCTTTGATTTTAGCTTTGGAAGAACATAAATCAAAATCTAAAGCATGGCTGTCAGGAGGATCAAGAGAATTATCCATTTGAGAGAGGGTTGGAGTGCAGGGTATTCTCTTTCATTGTTCAAACTGAGCTCAACTCCTGATGCATGGAGAAAAGGCCTTCACAAGCCTCTGCTATTGTGTAAATAGTTTATACTAAGTGACCCATAGGTTGAGGAGGCGGTCACAGTGGTGTAGGTGGAAGCGGCGGTGGAGGAGGAGGAGGTAGCCAACACTGTTTTTTATATATATAAATATTTTTTTTTTAATTGGGGAAGCACCCAAAATATTGGGACATATAAAAAAAGACAACTCTGTTCCGCAGAGCGACTGACCCGTGCGTGCTGCAGCTGAAACTCAACTATCGCCTGCTACTGCTCGCACAGTCCCATGAGGCGGTGAGCGGGAAGGCTGAAGTTCCGCTGCAGCGCAGACAGGCGAGCAGCAGCAGGAGATGAGGAGGAAGTGCGCAAGGAGGCGCCTGGCATATAACCGAGAGCCACCCTCAGAGGAGATTGTCAGCAGGACCTTTTTGGAGGTGCAAGCCTATGTCCTTGCCAATAGACATGAACCCAGATGAAGGAAGAAGGGAGCAGAGGGTGCCGGGAAGCACAACCACCCTGGCCCACAAGCTACCATACAATGCCTTCAAAGAGCTCAAGGAAGCAGAAGAAGGCATCGATTACTTTTTACAAGACTTTGAGTGCCAGTGCCTACTCCAGAGACCGGGTCACCATCCTGGCCAACAAACTAGTGGGGAAGGCAGCGGATATTTACTGGGCTGTACCAGAAGAGCAGATCAGAGACTATCCCTTTATTACCCAAATCCTCCTGGCCCGGTATGTGGTCACCCCCGAGCAATACCGCTGAAAGCTTAGGGAGACCCGGACAGGGGAGAAGGACTCCCATGCGGAGTGGGCATACAGCATCACAAGGGCCACGCAGAACTGGCTCAACTCCCATCAAGCCAAGTTCCCGGAGATCACCCAACTCGTCATGCTAGAGCACTTTTTCAATGGGCTCCCCAACGACACGGCTGGTGAGAGACCGCCAGCCCCACACCCAAGAAGTATTGGTAAGAGCTGCTGAAGCTAGCTCACAATATCCTCTTGGCAGGGCATTTGGGCAGGAGCCGGACAGCATCTCGGCTCACCCACAGCTTCTTCTAGCCAGGCATCTCTCAGGATTTGAGCCAGTACTTCCAGATGTCTGCCAGAGATTGGGGAAGAGAAGGGACTGGCACTGGGCCCCCCTCCATCCCCTACCTATTAGTGAAGATCCGTTCGGCAGAGTAGCTGTTGACATTATAGTTGCGCAGGCACTTTGTTGACTCTATAGAACCTCGGGCCAATTGCACGTCCCCGTAACGGCGACTTTGCATTCATATGTCATCCATACCAACTTTCGATGCCAGTTTCTGTGCCTACTATGGTGACCACGGGTAACAGGGAATCAGGGTTGGATTACGGAGAGAGAATCTGAGAAACGGCTACCACATGCAAGGAAGGCAGCAGGCGCGCAAATGACCCACTCCCGACGCGGGAAGGTAGTGACGTCAAATAACAATACAGGACTTGTTAGAGGCCCTGTAATTGTAATGAGTCCACTTGAAATCCTTTAACTCTGATCAATTGGAGGGCAAGTCTGGTGCAGAGCGACTGACCCGTGCGTGCTGCAGCTGAAACTCCACTATCGCCTGCTGCTGCTCGCACAGTCTCTACAGCATGTGCAAGGTGGAGTTCCACCTTGTGGGCACGTCGCATATGAGGCTGTGAGTGGCAAGGCCAAAGTTACGCTGCAGCATAGACAGGCGAGCAGCAGCAGGGTGAGAACGCCGAAAGCGCGCAGATCAGTCTGGTGATGGCTTCTGAAACTGCATCAGGGTCCTTGTATGTGGCCGCACAAACGCTGGTGCTCAACACCAGGGGGCGTGCCGTTACCCTGCACCAGACCCTGCTAATCCATTCCACACTGTGACTCCTAACTTCAACATCGGGCATACTGGGTCCTGGTCGTCCGACCGCCGCCCAGACAGTGTCTGGGTCCCGGTCACTGGACTGCACTCCTGACTGTGAAATTGCGAATAGCTCGTTAAATCTGTTATGCTTCCTTTTATCGCTCCATCTGTTACTTGGATAACTGTGGGAATTCTAAAGATAATACATGCCGACGAGCGCTAGGGGACGGCTGCTCCGTTTCTGCACCCTGCTCCCTCTTATGCTGTGCTGGTGCCTCTGTGCGACCAGCGCCTCTTCCTCCAAACTGCACATGTCACTTGCATGACCTTGAATCCATGTGGGGTCTAGGACCTCATCATCCTCCACATAATCTTCCACCCACTCCTCAACCCTGCCCTCCTTGCCGGTCTGCACACTGCAGAAAGCCACAGCAGTTGGCACCTGTGTTTTTCCAGCATGTAAACTCTGCAAAGGACATATGGGAATTGTTTTAGAATTGTATCCAGGCAATAGTTTTTCCCTATAAACTGACCTCTCAGTTTGACTTGTGAGGGTACTGCCCCCGAATTACAATATTGTTATATTGGTATTTGACGCTTCTATTTGACTGTCAGATATGAAGTGCACCCCTAAAATTTACTATTTAGCAGATTAGCAGCAAAACAATTAGAATGTTTACAACTGTAAGCGCACTATTTGACGCTTTTATTTGACTCTCAGATATGAAGTGCAGGCCGAAAATTTACTATTTAGCAGTTTAGCACCAAACCAATTAGAATGTTTACAACTGAGTTGTAAGCGCACTATTTGACGCTTCTATTTGACTCTCAGATATGAAGAGCACGCCCAAAATTTACTATTTAGCAGATTAGCAGCAAAACAATTAGAATTTTTACAACTGCGCAGTATGCGCACTATTTGACGCTTCTATTTGACTCACATATGAAGTGCACCCTCAAAATGTACTATTTAGCAGATTAGCAGCAAAACAATTAGAATGTTTACAACTGCGCTGTAAGCGCACTATTTGACGCTTCTATTTGACTCTCAGATATGAAGAGCACGCCGAAAATGTACTATTTAGCACTTTAGCAGCAAAACAATTCAAATGTTTACAACTGCGCTGTAAGCACACTATTTGACACTTCTATTTGACTCTCAGATATGAAGTACACCCCACTAAAATACTATTTAGCAGTTTGGCACCCAAAATAATTAACGTTTTAAAACTGCAACGTGACAGCAGTATTTGACGCTTCTATTTGACTCTCAGATATGAAGAGCACACCCAAATTTACTGTTTAGCACTAAAAAAAATTGACTTTTAAAAACTCTGACGTAACCACAGTATTTGACGCTTCTATTTAATTGACTTTTTAAAACTCCAATGTAACCGCAGTATTTGACGCTTCTATTTGACTCTCAGATATGAAGTGCACCCCACTAATGTACTAGTTTGCAGAATTCTTTCCTAAGCTGTCCCTCACAGATGCAGCTTCCTCTCCCTACACTAATAAGACCTCATGTGCGTGCGGCGCTACTTGACTCCAGCTTATATATAGAGCCTGGGTCACATGCTGCACTGGCCAATCACAGCCATGTCATTAGTAAGCATGGCTGTGACGGCTTCTAAGGGCACATGAGTCAAATGCTTGTTGATTGGCTGCCCTGCAGCCTTTCAAAATGCGCCATTAAATCGACGAACACCGAACTCCAACCCGAACATACAGTGATATGTCCGTGTTCGGGTCCGGGATCCCAAAAACGTAATGTTCGGTAAGAACCCGAACTTTACAGTCCGGATTCGCTCAACTCTAGTTATAACAGAATGGAACAATCATAAAACAAAAATAACAAACGAAAAGGGAAGGGCTGTGCCACAAGTAAACACTAATAGTACAACTTATTTGGCAGAAAAGCAGAAATAGGTCTGGTGCAAAAGTCTCACAAAGAAAGTTTCTGTAATCCAAAGAGAAAAAAGTCAGTGCTTGATAGGATGTACTGTCCTCAATTCAACTTGACTATATATAATATGGAAGACAAAAGACAGGGATGGATGATAGTGTAGATTGTTGATTACAGTCTTTTATATAAGGAAAATGTAACAATGGGACACTCACATTTGGAAGAGTTATAGCCAGCTCCAGCAGTAGAGGCATACAGTGGTATAATCCCTGCTTTAAAGGATAAACGGCAGCTGTCAACCACGTTCACACCAAGATGATATGAAAGAGAGGAAACAGGAGCAGGTAATATTGCAGACTGTATAATTCAATCAGATAAAAGTATAAGATAACGATGGAACAATTTTTAAGTTAAAATACACAATATTAAATGTCCATAATGCGTTTCACCTTTACAGGCTTTATCAAATGGAGTAAAAACAACCAACCTGGCTTTAGGAGTTTATATAGGGATAAAAATTGGTGCCAAAATTTGCATTATCTAATCGGAATTCAACATATTTAAAAACATTTTAAAAGTACATAAAATTTATTAAATTGTATTCTTAGTGTAGTACAGAGGTTAAATATCATATTTTTTTATACAAAACTAGGGTTACATTAAGTGAAAATAGCATTGGGAAGATGATCACGTAATGTGGATGCATAATTGGTCGCAATGCTACATGGGATATGTAGTAAATGATTACATAGCCGATGTTATGCTACAAGGGGTTTTAGAATTGGAACTCAACTGCAGCTTGTAGAACTCCTTAAATTGCAATAGCAAGAAAGCAGAGAATTATTAAGGATACTGTAGCTTTAAAGCAAAGTGGTGGATGCAGGCAGTTAGTGAAAAAAGCGAAGTCTTAATGAATGCAATAATATTTTAGTAACTGAGAATTATAGCATGCAAATAACAATGCATTAGGAAGTAACTGCAGGTTATATCAAGCAAGAAACAGTTCATTAGTAATTCAATCTTCAGAGGTGGAAGTGAATAGTATACTTAAGATTGATGGGAGTTGTCCTCCATGGGAATAGCAAAGTAACAATTCATTAGGAAGTAACTGAAGATTATAGCAAGCAAGAAACAGTTCATTAGTAAGTAAGTCTTCAGAGATCAGAGTAATTAGTATACTTAAGATTGATGGGAGTTGTCCTCCATGGGAATGTATAGCTTGAATCCAAGGGATGAATGATATACACAGTCCGGTTTTCAGGAGACTCCAATACAATCCGTGGTCAGAGGTACAGAGAAGGCAAAATCCTTTATAATAGTCAAAGGTTTGGTAACTTTGTGAACGAAACGCTTAGCCGGCGTTTGAATGTGGAAGTAGGTCCAAGAATCACCAAGCGGTTTGAATCTGGCGCGGTCTCTCTATATAGCGTAAGAGAGCTGCGTCAGAAAGGTGGTGGGGCCGGCTCCACATACCGGAAACGCCGGAACAGATACGGCCTGACAGGACCCCCCACCTAACGAGCACACTCAGGGTGCTATTACCTTGGTTTATCAGGGTAGCGTTTGTGAAAGGCAGAGATCAACTTTTTTGCATGAACATCAGAAGAATTCTCCCACGTGTTATCTTCAGTCCCATAACCCTTCCATTTGATAAGATATTGTAAGTTACCTCTATGAAGTCTTGAGTCAAGAATTTTTTCTATTTTCTATTCCATTTCACCTTGAACTATGATAGGGTTAGACTTTGACAGTTGTTCTCTATAGAAGGGATCAAGGAGAAAAGGCTTTAGAAGGGAAAAACAGGATGAAAAACAGGATGAAGCTTAAGTGAAGGAGGGAGTTTCAGTTTCTTTGAAAGACGGGTTGTAGAAATATTCTTGGAAGATAGCCAAACAGTATCACAAACTTTATATTTAGGAGGAGCTCTCCTTTTAATATCATAATTCTTTTTATGCAAGACCATAGAACTTTCAAGGTTTTTCTTCAATTGATTAAACAATGAGGACATTTCCTTATTTTGAATAGAAACCATCGGGTTAGAAGTTGCCTTGGGATCATCGGGAAACAGAGAGGGATGGAATCCATAATTTGAAAAGAATGGAGTCATTTTGCTGCTTGAGTGTATGGAATTATTATAGGCAAATTCAGCCATAGGTAACCAATTAATCCAATTATCTTGTAAATACGTGCAATAACAACGAAGGTATTGTTCCAGACATTGATTGACTCGTCCTGTTTGGCCATTGGTTTGAGGATGGTATGCAGAAGAGAGTTTACGTTGGATTTGAAGTGAGGAACACATTTCCTTCCAGAATCGTGAAGTGAATTGAGTACCTCTGTCTGAGATGATTTCTTCAGGAAATCCATGTAATTTGATTATATTGTCTATGAAGACTTTGGAAAGTTCGGAGGATGAGGGTAATTTCTTTAAGGGAATAAAATGAGACATCTTCGTGAAACGGTCTACAACGACAAGTATGGTGGTGTATTTCTGTGAAGGAGGGCGTTCCACCATAAAATCCATAGAAATAGATTGCCAGGGTTTCACAGGGACTGGTAACCCCATCAATAATCCGTAAGGAAGGTGATGTTCTGCTTTGGATCTTTGACAAACTGGACAAGACTTAACATAAGTTTCAATGGTTTTATCTTGACGAGGCCACCAATATTGTCTAGTTGAGAGTTCAATTGTCTTTTTAATCCAGGGATGTCCAGCAAGTGGAGAGTCATGAATTAATTTTAGAAGTTTGTTCCATAGTTTTGGAGGAATATAAATCCCATTTTTGAAATAAAAGATTCAATCTTTTTTGAATAATTTAGGTGTGGAAGGTAATTCAAGTTCTTTGAGAGATAATTGTTTCAGTTCATCCAATATGGTAGTTGTAAGTCCAATAATTTTATTGTTTGACAATATTGAGAAGGTTTTCTCTTCTGAAGAAGGATTACAAGGAATTCTGAAAAGAGCATCAGCTTTTTTGTTACGAGATCCAGGTCTATAGACTATTTGAAAATTGAACCGATCAAAAAAAGGATTCCATCTTATTTGTCTGGAGGATAAAGTTTTGTTGGAATGGAGGTATTCAAGATTCCTGTGATCTGTATAAACGATGATAGAAATTTCATTTCCCTCTAGAAGGTGACGCCAATTCTCAAAAGCTACTTTTATGCCTAACAATTCTTTTTCTCCGATAGGATAGTTCTTCTCGGCTGAGGTTAAGGATCTTGAAAGAAAAGCGACAGGATGGAGAGGATCTTGAGGAGTCTTTTGTTGAGAGAGAACTGCTCCAATAGCATTTTCAGATGCGTCTACTTCTAGAACATAGGGATATGAAGGATTTGGAAGGTGTAATACAGGAGCAATTGTAAATCTATTTTTTAATTCATCAAAAGCTTCTTGAGCCTGGTTATTCCAACTAAAGGGATGTTTGTTTCCAGCAAGTATATGGAGAGGATGTGCTATCTCAGAGAAATTCTTGATAAACTTCCTATAAAAATTTGCAAAACCCAGAAATCTCTGTACATCTTTGGTAGATGAAGGAATTGGCCAATTAAGAATGCAGTTTATTTTTGAATCATCCATACTTATTGAATGAGGCATAGCCAAGAAAATTGAGTTCTTTAACTTCGAATAAAATTTTTTCTGGTTTAGCATATAGTTTGTGAATTCTTAATCGGGATAACACTGAGCCTACATGTTTCCTATGATCTTTAAGGTTATTAGAATAAATTAATATATCATTGAGATAAATAATGACACAAGTGTCTAGAAGGTCTCTGAAAATATCATTAATGAAGTGTTGGAAAGTAGCACGAGCATTACAGAGTCCGAATGGCATGACCAAATATTCAAAGAGGCCATATCTAGTGCGGAAAGCCGTTTTCCATTCATCGTCTTCTTTAATCCTAATTAGGTTGTAAGCCGCTCTGAGATCAAGTTTGGTGAAGATAGTTGCCGTTCTTAATCTTTCAATAAGTTCAGGAATCAAAGGTAGAGGGTAGCGGTTTTTAATTGTTATTTAATTTAATGCACGGTAGTCGAATATGGGACGTATAGTTTGATCTTTATTTCTTACAAAGAAGATCCCAGAAGCAGCAGGAGAAGTAGAAGGACGTAAGAATCCTTTACAGAGGTTTTCTTCAAGGTACTCCTTAAGGGTTTCTACTTCTTTCTAAGAAAGAGGGTATATGTGACCATAGGGGATAGGAACACCAGGAATTAGGTCAATAGGACAGTCATAAATCCTATGAGGAGGAAGAGATTTAGCTTCTTTTTTACTAAACACATCAGAGAAATCCAAATATTGTTCCGGTATTAAGGTTTCTTGACTTAATTGTAGTATAGGAATCTGTGGGAGACAATTGTCCTTACAATAATCTGAGTCAAAGGAGAGAGAGAAAGGAGCTCAACGGATGAAGGGATTATGAGTTTGTAACCAGTTGATACCTAAGATGATTGGAAAAAGGGGGGATTTTATAATATCGTAAACGAGAAATTCTGAATGGTTATTATTGATAGTGGTCAAAATAGGAATAGTTTCATTTTTTATGGGACCAGAGGGGATTAAAGAACCATCAATAACTCTGATAGAGACAAAAGATGTTTTTTGCACTCAAGGAATTTTATTGTTTTCAACAAATGAAGAATCTATGAATACCCCCTTAGCTCCATAATCAATAATGGCCTCAGTCTTGATTCTTTCTTTGTCCTACTGTAAAATTAGAGATACAGCAAACTGATGAGATGAGGAAGAGGGAAGGGTTTTCAGTATTGAGGTATTAATTCTAGCCTTACCTCCCTTAGAGCGTTTTAATAGATGACATTCTTGTAAAAGGTGTTCGTTAGAGGCACAATACATGCAGAGATTTCATTCTCTCCTTCTTGTTTTTTCTTCAAGAGACAAAGGTCCCCTAATAAACCCAACTTCCATTGGTTCAATTGGTTGCAGGGGTTTATTAGGAATTCGCAAGGGAGGACTGGTTTTTTTCCAAAGTGAATTAGTAAGAGCCTTCTCAGTTTTACGTTCTCTGATTCTTCTATGTATACTGATAGA